TCCCCAAGATAGAAGATGTTATAATGTTTTGCATGAAAATTTAATGTCAGTGAATTTAGCCTTAGGCATTGGATCATATATATAGAGAGAGAGATAATACTCTAAAATTATTTGAAAGTGGCTTGTCTGATTTAACCATCATTAAGAAGATTCAAAAGTGTTATTTATTTTTATAAATTAACATTAAAAGGCTGGGTGTGGTGGCTGACACCTGTAATCCCAAAACTTTGGGAGGCTAAGGCGGGCAGATTGCTTGAGCCCAGAAGTTTGACACTAGTCTGGGCAACAACAACGACAACAAAAACTCCATATTCATTTACCTCAATAAGTTGAGGAAGCATATCCTTTCAAATCTGCTTTATTCATTTATGTAACTAAAGTTGCTGCTGTTGTTGTTTTTAGTCCAACAAGTATCTAAAGCTGTATTGTCCAATATGGTAGCCTCTAGCCATATGTGGCTTTTTTTTTTCCTTTTTGAGATGGAGTCTCACTCTGTCACCCAGGCTGGAGTGCAGTGCTGTGATTTCAGCTCACTGCAACCTTCACCTCCCAGGGTCAAGTGATTTTCCTGCCCCAGTCTCCCGAGTAGCTGGGATTACAGGCGTGCACCACCACTCCCGGCTAATGTTTGTATTTTTAATAGAGATGGGGTTTTGCCATATTGTCCTGGCTGGTCTCAAACTCCCGATCTCAAGAAACCCGCCTGCCTTAGCCTGCCAAAGTTCTGGAATTACAGGCGTGAGCCACTGCATCCGGCCTTATGGCTATTTTTAAATTAAACAAAATGTGAAATTCAGTTCCTCAGTCATACCACATTTTAGGTGTTCAGTAGCCACATGTGGCCAGTGGCTGCTATATTGGACAGTGCACATAGATAACTTTTCCATCATCACAGAAAGCTCTACTGGACAACACTGATCTAAGGCAAAAGAAAAGTATGTTAATAAGAATTAGCCACATCATTTCAAAAACAGTTTTTCTACTTTCAGATCAGCTGTCATACAATCATATCTTGTTATGGGAAAGATAAAATGGGATGGAAGTGTTCTTAAAATTCAACTCTAATCAATTCCTAAAATACTTAAGTGTTTGACTGTTGCCATTGGATTTACATATAAATATCACAGCCTGGCATTCAAAGTCTTTCCTGTTGTGGCACGAGCCCGCTTGTTCAGCACATTTCTCAATGAACCCTTCTCTCATAATCTGAGCTCTGGCCAAATTATTCACTTTTCTCCAAATCCCACATTCATTTGTTCCGTTCTTTGAATTGCCCTCTTCTTCTGCTCCTTTTTGTACTTTTGAAATCCTCTGCACTGTTTCTTCCTTCTCGAAACCTCTCCTGGCCCCTTCCCCTTCCACTCCTCTCCTTTCACATTAAAGAGGACCACTTTTCCTAGCTGGGTTAGTAGGAACAGATTGGATGCATTGGAAGAGACTTGTGATGTGGTTTCCTGCAGTTCCTTTGTGTTATAGTTGAAGAAACTGAGGCTCACAGAAGTTGAGATGACCAAGCTGAGTGATACCGATCTCCTGATATTGCCGTTCTCAGTCCCAAATACCTCTGATCTCTTGGGTTCTTTCGAGTTTTATAATTATCTATAAAGCATAAGTGGCTAGTAATGCTGACCAAAGGCTTGAAGAATGTGGGAGACTAAAAGAAATTTTAAAATGAGATGAAAGAAGCAGAATATTTTTCCTGATCATATGCAGGTTTCTGATATGGTTTATTCAGTCAACTCTGTTTAGAGTGCAATTTCTAAATTTATTTTGTGCGTATATCCTGAACATGCCTGAGGCAGATGTTCGTCAGAGGTGGCATCCGGAATGATCTGGAGTTAACAGTGAGCAGAGACCCTTCCCGTTTTCCCCATGCTTGTCTGCCTCCAGGAGGCTGTGAGAGCTAGGCAATCCCCACCCCCCGCCCCGCCCAGCCCTATGGTACGGACAGCCACACCTGCAGCCAAAGTGAACTAAAGTGAACCCCCTCCTCACACTGTTCCCACAGAGCCTCTAGTCACTGAGAACAGATTCCTCGGGAGTGAGATCATAGGCCTTCAACCCTAAGAGGAGCCATGGAGCCATTCCAAATGAAAGAATACTTCCTAAGCTTTTTGTTCGTTTTAAATCTTCAGGGACCATGCTAATCTTCTCTATATCGTTCCAATTTTGTATCGTTCCAATTTTAGTATATGTGCTACACTTTCTGCGTTTTTCACCCCAACACTAGGTGAGAAAATCAAAGTCCCAGAGGGTGCACCTTTTACCTAGTCCTCCCTGTGTGTAGTAAAAGGTATCAGAAAACAACAACTATCCTAGTTGTTGCCCCATAAACAGTCTCGTGTTTTTTATTTAATTTGGTTTTGCCCCCCACCCAACCGCCTTTGAGAGGCAGGACTCAGTATATTCTGCATTATTTTTTGTAACAAATGTTTGTGGAAGAGCAGAGCTGTTGTCTGTGTACTGACCAGGTTCTGACAGCTGTTCCCACACAGCTACATGGTGAAGGCAGTGCGAGGTTCACTGCTAGGGCTTGCCTTTCCGAGTTGCTGTTCCTACGTTGCTCCCTGCTTTGTCTCTTGTAACAGTTTGTGGGATTTCAGCACTGAACTTGCTTCCTGCTCTAGATGAAAAAAAAAAATTACATCCTTGGTCCTGTGGCACAGAATCAGCTGATCCTAACAAAATAGTAGAGGAAGGCTGAGTTAGGAGGGACAGCTTGCATGGAGGATGCATTCGTCCAAGTTACTTGTGTTCACCAGCTGTAAATTTTGAATTATAGAATTAGAAGGACCATTTGGAGATCATGCAGCTTTCTCTCCTACCTCTAGTCAGGATCGTTATAAAAATATGCTGTGCAGATGAGCTGTGCCTCTGCTCTAAGCCAGTGGTTCTCAAACTGTGGCCCCTGGTCCAGCAACTTTGGCGTCACATAGAAACTTGTTACAAATGCACATTCTCAGCTCCTACCCCAACACTAATGAGTCAGAAACTCAGAGAGTGGAGCCCAGCCATCTGAAGGAGCCCTCTAGGGAATTCTGATACACTTTGTTTGAGAACTACTGCTCTAAGGGAACCCCTAGCAGGGCCCAGGAGTGAAGATTTTTAAGTCTCAGTGGCAGGAAACCAACACAGAGGTTTATCCTGCTCCCGTAATGGAGCTTCAGTAAGTGTATAGGGCATCATGGCCACCAGTTCTTCTTTTTGGTCTCAGCTCTGTATTGAGCCAGAGTGCTTGTGTCCCTGGTTCCCTTGATCATGTGCCAGAGAGACTTCAAAGTTAATATCCGCCGTACTGCAATGCTGGATAATGGCCCTGAGTACCTCTCCTGACATAGTCCACAGTCAGCTTCTTGGTGAGCCTAGATTCCTTCTGCAGGGATTGACTTCAACCTCTTTATCCCTGCCCTCCTCCACCACCTTAGAGAGCAGCTCATGTTCCATGAGGCTTCTGACCTGGGCCACTTAGAACTTGTGCCCTTCCTCGTGACTACACCTCCAGTGCAAAGTTAAATCCTGCAGCATGTCTTTCAGAAAGCAGGAAAAATTAAGGAGTCTCCTAGCTGCATCTTGAAACTCATATGAAATCTGGGGCTCAGATTTGCATAATAGCAGAGTTTATTTCTTTTTATTGAGAAGCGAAACATGAGAGGGAATTTCAACAGTCAATAGCAAGACCTTATTCTAGGGCTTCCGCATTCTCTTTGTTTGTTGGGGTGTCTTAAGCACCATTTATATCTCAATATCTCATAGTCCTCCTTCACGTTCAGTTAATTGTGCAAAATTCTGAGAATAAGCAGCATCTAGCTTTCTGTAGATGTGACCATTGTAGAGCCTTTCTTCTGTACAGATTGATTTCATCTGGGTTTCATTTCAGACTGAAACCATTTGTATAATACTTTTAGGAGCCAGTTCTCCCTATAGCTTTGAGCCCAAAATGAATGTCCAGATGCGTCTCTTCAGATTGCTTTCTCTGTAGGCCTGCCAAAGGGAAAGAGCCCAGAATTCTTTGGCATAGGAGAGAAGTTATTTAATATTTATGAAGGGAGCCAGATGTTCAGGACATTTCATATCACAGAGTTAGACATGGTTCCTATCCTTGATAAACTCACCCAGACAAATTATGAGCACCAGATCATAGAAACAACAAATAGCCCATTCATTATCTATTATGTGACCTGGTAGAATGTGCTTTTTTATTAAAGGTGTCCAGTTCCTGTGTAGTCCTCAACTAACCCAAGGGGCAGGAGAGGAAGATTGGTAGTTTAAGGAGATTTGGATTAATCTGACTGTATAATTCATTTCCTTCAGGGGTCAACTCCACCAGCAGTGCTGTGAAAAGTGGACCCTGGTTAATGATGAGACCCAAGCCAAGATGGCCCGGATGGCTGCTGCAGCTGCATGGGGTTTAGGTAAAGCTTCCCTCACAGGCACCCCATCAAGAATGGGGTGAGTGAGGCTAGGGGCTCGCATCAGAAGAGTAAGGCGCTGGCTCTAGGTGGAGATCCAGGTCTGTGGAAGTGTAAAAACGGTCTGTATCCACCTACTTCTGCACCTTCCATCTGTCCTTTCTACCTGATGATTTTTATGAACTTGTTGGACATGGGGAAAATTGGATCTTCGTTGGAAGGCCAAGGAAAAGAGTGCACAAAATCAAAATTGAGATTTGGTGGGTGAGAAATATACACTTAGCACACTCACACAGAATACTGATGCCAGATGCTTTTCCCCATACACCAAGCCATTGTCAGCAGACACCAGTGGGGTGTCAGGTAGTTTATTTCTGACACTGTCTACTTGGAAATAGCATCAGATCCCACAGGTTAAGGGCTCATCCCAAAATACTGCCCCACTTCAGATGCCAATCACAAGTTCCAGGTTGTGACTTGTGTTTCTCACTGACCAGCTGTAAATCAGGGTTAACATAACTCTCCTCCACAGGTGTGATAATTTGGTAGGACAGCGCACAGAACAAAAGGAAACACTTTTACTTACATGTACTGGTTTCCTATAAAGGGTATTATACAAGATACAGATGAACAGATACAATGAGGGAAGGTCTAGAAGGGTCTAGAGTGCAGAAGTTTATGTCCTGTGTGGTACTGGGGTTTACCATCACCCTCCCAGCACCTTCATCAACCTGGAAGCTCATTGTTCAAGAGTTTTTATTGCCTTTAATTTTCAACCTCTTCACCTTTCCTGGATGTCAGTGGACAGGGCTGAAAGTTCAAACCTGGTAATTACTTGGTCTTTCTGGTAACCAGCCCCATCCTGGAAGGGGAGAAGGAGGGAGAGACAATGTTAGGCAAAGTTTAAGTCACATGCTACTTAGCGAACCAATCTCTTTGGCAATAGGCTTGGATATTCTGCAAGGTTAGTGGGGTCCTACGCCCACACATTCAGCAGGGTATTAGGGTATGCATCTCTCTGTCTCCATTTACCTTTGCAGTTGAAAGCAGAAACAAGAGATGAGGAGACTGGGTGTGGTGACTCACACCTGTAATCCCAGCACTCCGTGAGGCTTGGGTGGAGGATCACTTGAGCCCAGGAGTTTGAGACCAGCCTGGGCAATATAGTGACACTCCATCTCTACCAATTTTATATGTGTGTGTATATATACACACACATACATATATACACATATATATGTATACATGTATACATATATATGTATGTGTATATATATATACACACACACAATTTTTTTTTTTGAGATGGCGTCTCTATCACCCAGGCTGGAGTGTAGTGACACAATCTTGGTTCACTGCAACCTCCCGGGTTCAAGCAATTCTCTGCCTCAGCCCTCCGAGTAGTTGGGATTCCAGGCACCACTACCACGCCCAGCTAAGTTTTGTATTTTTAGTAGAGACAGGGTTTCACCATGTTGGCCAGGCTGCTTGAACTCCTTATCTCGTGATCCATCCACCTCGGCCTCCCAAAGTGCTGGAATTACAGGCGTGAACCACTGCGGGTGGCCCTCATTTTTTTGTTTTAAAGAGAGATGAGGAGAACTCTCTTTAGGTTCCTGCATCCAGCTATGCCTAAAGTCGTCTCTATAGTTGACCTTCTCAATAAATAAATTTTTTCTTAAACTATTCTACCTTATCAGCATAATCAGTAGGGGCTCATGATGAATAATGAACACTTCTATCACTCAGGAAATGCAAAGGGTTTTTGATAGCTCTATACCAGGTACTAGGGACAAAGATCAAACATATTTCGTCTTATACCACAGTAGGATTTGGCTTTGGTTGCCTAAAGCAAGATAATGATTTATTTTCCTCTCTTATAAATGAAATCTAGAGGTAAGCATTTCCAGACTAGTATTTTGGCTCTATTATCATTAGCCTTTTTCCAGATTGCTGCTTTGCACGCTCAGCCTGTGCCTCCATTTTAAAGTTCACATGATCCAGCATGGTTGCTGGAGCTCCCCATGTCATGTTTTTATCCCAAGCAGGAGTAAAGGGAGAAGACAGTTGTCTATCTCCTTTTATTCATATTTCTTAACTTATAGTTTAGAACTTTCCCAATATATGTAACAGTGAAGATTATAGTATAATAAACCCCCATCTGCCCGTCACCTTTTCCAGCAATTACAAACATTTTCACCATTTATTGTCTCTGTTCTCCTCTTTGCTGCCCAATTCTTACCCACCTCACTCCTACTCCCAGAGTATTTTAAAACAAAGATTTCCTTTCAATCCCTGCAGACATGTCAATTTCTGACACTGGGCCCCAGCTAAGAGGATTATCAATATCTGTTCCAGAGATGGTCTTGATAAGAAGGGAAAGGATATGTAGAACGTCTCTGGTGAAAAGCTTCACCTGTGGAGCCCAGAGGAAAGTTACATAACCTTCTACCTCCATTCTCTTCTTCTGTCCCTCTTGAGTCACAGAGCTTATACCCTTTCCTTTCATGAGCTCTGGGCTAGATCCGGAACATTTTTCAAAAACAAATTGCTTCCTGAGGAGTCATCGTTAGCTATTTGCTTGTGCCCAGAGGCATAGAGAATGGATGAGCTGATGGTCTGGAGTGAGAGGCAGGAAAATGCCTTGTAAAATTGGCAGCCCTGCAGTTTGAAGCTAATGAAGCTGATATCTTTTCTGCAGATGGTCTTGGAAATCCTGGTATTTGATACATACTCACCCCACCAGGAGAAGTAAATACCTCTTCCCGGATGCAGCCATTTCCCCAGTCTAACATGACACAGAGACCACTGTGCTGTGACCTAGCCCGGCTTTTTGTTATAATGGAGTTGCTTACAATATTTATCTCCTCCCTCCTGAGGCAAAGATGTTGCCAGAATGAAATGGGCAAGCTATGTGTCTAATCCTGTCCCCTATCATCTGTGTAATGGCTATTTTCAATTGTTTAGAGGAAAATGTAATTTCCCAACATACCATTGAACTGTGAGCTGCCTCACTAGTAGGGAAGAAAGCAATTTTGTTTCACCTGGAGAAACCTGAGAGAGTTCTCTAGGATAATGAGGTGCTGCATTCAGCCCACTTGATGTGCAGACTTCACACTCATGCACTTCCCCCCTCATCTGTCAAGATGCTCCCTGGGCAGCCATGGAGTCCTGTGTTTAGGAGAGAGATGTGGCTTTTTTTTGTTGTTGTTAAGTCAACCTGCATAGTGTGTATAGGGGCTCTGCAGGATTTTGGTACATGAGGCTCAAGTGCATTTGTCTTGTCTGTATCCCAAGCTAAAGGAAAGTAACAATGGTAAGACCTATTTGAGATGCTGCCTTTAGCCCAACCAGCCAACCCCCTTGATGCTTTGTGTATGTGTGTGTGTGTATAGGTCAGTGGGACAGCATGGAAGAATACACCTGTATGATCCCTCGGGACACCCATGATGGGGCATTTTATAGAGCTGTGCTGGCACTGCATCAGGACCTCTTCTCCTTGGCACAACAGGTAAAAACCTGCATGCACCCAGATCTCTCAGCAAGGAAAAGATTGTAGTGCTTCTGAGCACACGGAGCTTCAGTAAATAGCTATTATACTTCAGGTCTGATGTTTACTTGACTTTGTGAGTGCATTTGAATGGTTTTGATGCATTGCACTCAGAAGACTGCCAGCAGGTCTGCTGGGGCTACTTTTTGTTCTGAGGGGGACAAATGTGTTCTGGAAGCTGCTGTCTCAGTTGCTTTTGGAGTTAGCTTGTTGGGTCATCGTTACATCCCTTGCTGTAGAGAGAAGCTGTATTTCACCAAAAGATAGGAGTCAGAGAGCCAGCAGTCTCACTGTGCGGCAGAAATCAGTCACAAGGGTCTTCTGGCCATGCAGGCATGTCACACATTGATTACCTTCCAAGGAAGCTAGTACTTATTTGCAAATAGTGTGCTGACTTGCAGAATGAAATAATGAAGTAATCCCATGCACCCTGTCAGACACGAGACTAAATGAGGTGCCCTGGTAAATGATCTGAGCACTTAAGGCATTGGGACACTATAATTAACCTTAAACATTCAAAAACGGGAAAAGCTCTGCATGAGGGATTTTTAATTGATGGCACAGAGGAAACTCAAACTGCAGTGCTGTGGCATCCTCCAGGCTCTCATCTGTGTGATGAGAACCAAGATCTTGGTTGTCTCTGTCAGAGACACAAGAGCTCCCGTTCACATGCACAGGATTGGGCCTCTCTGCCAATTTCAGAGGCACTCCCTAATAAGGACAGAGGGTGCTTGGAAGCCAGAGCTGCCACCTGGGGCCATTGAAGTGTGTGCAGAATCTGTTTTCATAAACATGCCCAGCAAGGAAAAGTTAAAAGAGGGTAGATCCCCAGGTTGGGCACAGTGGCTCACACCTGTAATCCCAGCACTTTGGTAGGCCAAGGTGGATGAATCACTTGAGACCAGGAATTCGAGACCAGCCTGCCCAACATGGCGAAACCCTATCTCTACTAAAAATACAAAAATTAGCTGGGCATGGTGGCGGGCACCTGTAGTCCCAGCATCCCAGCTACTTGGGAGGCTGAGGCAGGAGAATCGCTTGAACCTGGGAGGTGGAGACTACAGTGAGCCAAGATCACGCCACCGCACTGCAGTCTGGGTGACAGAGTGAGACTGTGTCTCAGAAAAAAAAAGGTAGATCCCCAATTATGTCCTCTTGAGATGCAAGAACCCATGATTCAGTTTTACAGCCCTCATTCCCATGCCCTTGCCACCTAAGATTGTGTATGTTACCTTAGATAGATGTTAAAGTTTTGGATGCCATGCATTTCTGTCTTTGATGAGAAATTGGATAATACCTCCTCTCAAGCCATTCACTTCTGGGAAAATGCCTTTCTTCAGCAAATTTCTCTCTTCGTCCCTGGAATTTAAGTGAGACAGATAACCTCTGTAGCTAGTTGGGGTGCCCTAAAATAACCCTAAGCTCCCAAGTCCAGAGCTCAGTCCCAAGGGTTGTTTCTCTTCTAGTGCATTGACAAGGCCAGGGACCTGCTGGATGCTGAATTAACTGCGATGGCAGGAGAGAGTTACAGTCGGGCATATGGGGTAAGTGTCAACTATTCTGCACATTGTCATTTTTGAGGCTTATTTCCATACTTTTTTCAGAATGGGCTATTGAGAACTCACAGGCTGCTGGAAACATGCCTGTTTTCTCTGATCAGCAGATACCCTGACACCAGAAGGAATGATTTAAATCCTGTCTTTTGGATTGTTTGTGCAGTAATTAGTTTGGAATGTGATTTGCTTCCATCAGGCCATGGTTTCTTGCCACATGCTGTCCGAGCTGGAGGAGGTTATCCAGTACAAACTTGTCCCCGAGCGACGAGAGATCATCCGCCAGATCTGGTGGGAGAGACTGCAGGTGAGCTTGGTAGAAAGCCCCAGTTCACCCGCCTACCCCTGCCCCTTCCAGGACCTGGGAGAGTGCCCCCCTCCACTCCCTCTCTTACTCAACTTACTTTTCCTGCCTCCTCCACCAGTGTGTTGCTTGGCTTGCATACAAAGCAGAATACTCAAATGCTCCTCATCTAAGCTTAAGCTGTGAGAGAATGGCCAATTTTCCCGTCTCTTCTTACTCTCTCCTCTAGGAATTAAAAAAAATGTTTTTTAATAAATGACACCTGTGACCAGTCAGGAATCATAATCTCAAAATCATTGGTTCTCAACTTTAGCGGCACAGTAGAATCACCTGGAAAGCTTTTTAAAGTCCTGATGCCCAGGCTATTCCCCAGGCCAATTAAATTTCTGGGGAGAGACTCAGGATCAGTATCTTTTCAGGTTCCCCCAGATGATTCCACAAGCCAAAGCTAAGAACCACTGTTCTAACTATACTTGCAGGCCACCCGCACTAGCTTTTCAAATGGGGTTGCCTTAGGTTCTCATTGGCCAGCTCCTCCTGTTGATAGTTACTTAGGTCAGAGTCATCCTGTCGCCTGCATTGAGACTTTTTTCCACTGCAGTTTCCCCTTGTAGAGAAGCTTTCCCAAGTCCTCCATCAGTATTTTCATTATCACATTCTGATCATTTTAACATGAGGAACTGTCACTCCAGTTCTGGGAGTCAGGAGTCTTAAGTGTTCTCCCATTCCTTGAGTGGGTAGGATAGGAAGTTCATCAGCAAAAGAAAAAAAGAGAGAAAGCCTTTACCACTCCAGAAACCATTTGTCTCCCTGCCTATCATAATCCATCCCCCCAATTATAAGCCATTTCCTCTCAACTAGATCCCCACCTAATTCCAAATTCTCGCTTCAGACCAGTCGAAGTTTGTGCTTCAGGCGTCTCAGTAGGCTGTGACAAAACCCTGTCACTCCAAACTGCATTCCTGCCTAGGAAGTTCAGGGCACATTCCCCTGGAAAGGAGAGAGCAATGGGCACGGGAACATCTATGAATACAGTCATTTATGGCTCTGAAATGAGCACATGCAGTTCTTTTACATGTTTTATTAGTAATTATGAAATGCCCAGTGAATGTTTTGATGGAAAATTGTCTCCTGGGCACCAGAAAGAATTCCACAAATAAGCATTTCCCACTTAATTTGTACACACCCCAGTTCTTTGAAATGCCTATAATAAAGAGTTTCTACAGCAGAGATCTGATGAACCTTCTGACAGTCTGACAAGTGGGACTTGATCCAAATGTAGACTTGGAGGGGAGGGGATGCATGGAATGAGTCCTGGGAAGAGAGATGCCTGTCTGACTTTACTGGGTCCAGGACACTGTTACCACCTTAAGCCTTCGTGACTTTCCTATCTTGAGGCAGCAAGATGCTTTTTGGCTTACGGGAGGCCAAATTATTTCAGCATCTGGGAGGACCTAACTATTGGTGAGAAGTAACAAAAAACAATCACTCAATGTACTTTTTTCTGTTATTTTAACTTTCTAAATCATTGTTGTCACACTTCATGGGATGGAAAATTGTAGTCCAAGGCCTGAAAATAAAGCATTACATTTATAGTGGAAATTTGGCTCTTGTGGATGGCTTGCTGTCAAATGAACTGCTGGGGCTAGAAAACTGCCATTTTGTGGTCAAATCATTTAAATTAAAATCCCCAACCAGTATTATAGTAGTGGAAAAATACATGTTTGTTACTTTTCTTTGGAGTTGCACAATGCTTTTGGTTCCTAAGACCCTCCCATAGGGCAGTTAGAGAGGTCAGCATTACTGGCACTGAGTCTCTTCTTGCCTTGGGTTCTCCAGTCAGGCTCAGACTGCATCTTATCATGGCTAAAAGCCTGAGATCATTGTTGCTAGACTTTTAAGTTTATGTCCGTGGAGTTCAGCTCCATGGGTTCATGGAATTTACCATGAAACAGTAGATCTCAGGAACTCCCCTTCTGAGTCTGACTTCTTATCAACAAGGGTGAAAAAGGAGTTCACTTGGCTAGGCATGGTGGCTTATGCCTGTAATCCGAGCTCTTTGGGAGGCTGAGGCAGGCGGATCGCTTGAGGTCAGGAGTTCAAGACCAGGCTGGCCAACATGGCAAAACCCTGTATCTACTAAAAATACAAAAATCAGCCAGGCGTGGTGGCATGCACTTGTAGTTCCAGCTACTCAGGAGGCTGAGGCAGGAGAATCGCTTGAACCCGGGAGGCAGAGGTTGCAGTGAGCCGAGATCGCACCACTGCACCCCAGCCTGGGCAACAAGAGCAATCCCACATATAATCCCAGCACATTGGGAGGTTGAGGCGGGCAGATAGCTTAAGCCCAGGAGTTGGAAACCAGCCTTGGCAACATGGCAAAACTCCGTCTCTTCAAAAAATACAAAAATTAGCCAGATGTGGTGTGCACCCATAGTCCCAGCTACTCAGGAGGTTGAGGCGGGAGGATCGCTTGAACCTGGGAGGTTGAGGCTGCAGTGAGCCGTGATTGCACCAGTGTACTCCAGCCTGAGTGACAGAGTGAGACCCTGTCAAAAAAAAGAAAGAAGAATAATTTCTAAGTGTAACTGAATGAAGCATTTCCCCTTCTGTGTATACTTTTTTATCTCAGACAAGTAGAAATGAAGAAGAAAGAATCTAAGATGCCAACATACAGGGTATCTCAACAGTCTTTTGTTTTTTCAGAAGTCTTAATGAAGGTTGAGGCTTTAATAACTTCAGAAATATAAATGCCACCAACTTAAAAACAATGTCACTTGAAAGTTATTTAAACTTATTTACATTTAATTCATCTTTGAACTTTGGATGATACATTTTAAATTTAATTTCTTTGTCAGTGATAGTCATCTTCAACCAGAAAGACTGAAACAAAATTTTAAAGTTAAAGATGTATTATGTATTATATTCACCATTCACAAAATAAATTGAAATCAATCATTTAATTTATTTAATCCTCGCCATATCCCTATGAAACTGGTACTGTTTTTATTCCACTCTACAGATCTGTCAGAGGTTAAGTGATTTGCCCAAAGTCACATAGGTAGCAAGTGGCAGAGGCAGGATTCAAGCTCCAAACCCATGCTATACCATCTCTCAAACTGCTGAGAAGTCCCTAAGGGCAGGGGTCCCCATACCCAGGGCCGGGGACCGGTGGGTAGCCTGTTAGGAACCGGGAGGCACAGCAGGAGGTGAGGGATGGGCAAGCTCTACCTCCTGTCAGATCAGCAGCCACATTAGATTCCCATGGGTGCATGAACCCTATTATGAACTGTGCATGCAAGGGATCTAGGTTGCACGCTCCTTATGAGAATCTAATGCCTGATGATCTGAGGTAGAATAGTCATCCGAAAACCATTCCCTCGCCCCTGCCCAATATATGGAATAATTGTCTTCCACAAAACTAGTCCCTGGTGCCAAAAAGGTTGGGGACCACTGCCTAAGGGTATTTCAGTCACAGTGCCCTTAACCTGAGAAAGCTTAGATTCTATCAGCAAATCTCCTTTGTGTTTCACAGTGGATTTGACTGTGACTTGCAGGGAAGTTAAAATGTATCAGAAGGCCAGGCACGGTGGCTCATGCCTGTAATCCCAGAACTTTGGGAGCTGAAGCAGGCAGATCACTTAAGGTCAGGAGTTCGAGACCAGCCTTGCCATCATGGTGAAACACCATTTCTATTAAAAATACAAGAAAAGGCTGGGCACGGTGGCTCACGCCTGTAATCCCAACACTTTGGGAGGCTGAGACGGTTGGATCACAAGGTGAGGAGTTCAAGACCAGCCTGGCCAAGGTACTGAAACCCCGTCTCTACTAAAAATTAAAAAAATTAGCCAGGCATGATGGTGCATGCCTGTAATCCCAGCAACTCGGGAGGCTGAGGCAGGAGAATTGCTTGAACCCGGGAGGTAGAGGTTTCAGTGGGCCAAGATTGTACCACTGCACTCCAGCCTGGGTGACAGAGCAAGACTCTGCCTCAAAAACAATGTGTCAGAAGACATATCTGATCTTCACTTTTGAATGTTCTAGGGCTGCCAGCGTATCGTAGAGGACTGGCAGAAAATCCTTATGGTGCGGTCCCTTGTGGTCAGCCCTCATGAAGACATGAGAACCTGGCTCAAGTACGCAAGCCTGTGTGGCAAGAGTGGCAGACTGGTGAGTGACACCCACCCACCCACATGGGCAGGTAGGGCCCCAGGGTGTCCCTGGGCTGTCCAGTTCTGTCTGTAACCCAGTCTCTCTTATTTTAAGGCTCTTGCTCATAAAACCTTAGTGTTGCTCCTGGGAGTTGATCCGTCTCGGCAACTTGACCATCCCCTGCCGACAGTTCACCCTCAGGTGACCTATGCCTACATGAAAAACATGTGGAAGAGCGCCCGCAAGGTCTGTATCCCAGTGCATCCAGAACAGACCACCTTCTCCAGAATGCCCGCCTGATCTGCTTCTCTCTGCCCCTTTAAGGCCAGAAAAGAAACAGTGTTTAAACCACCTACTCACAATGTCAGGGAGTTTCTTCCTGTTATGAAGCTATTTGGCCTGATTTCATAAAGTGAATCATAGTTGAGGAGATACATGTATACCATTGATCAAACCAATGAATGTGATCACAGTTATATGTATTTGTATCTAGAAAGTGCTGGGACATAGAAAAGGCACACTTTCTACCCCTAAGAGAAGATGGGCTGTTTGGTACAAAAAAGAGCAGATTTGTGAATACACAGACTAGAACTTTCACAAGACCAATTTGGGTTTTTCAGACTTCTGGTCTCCTCTCCTGTCATCAGTTTGGATTCAAAAGGAATAACATGCAGGGTGTAATGCTGAAACCAGGAGGGAAAGTTATCTTGAAGCCAATGTAGAATTCCTCTGACTTTATTTACAGACAAGCCCTTGGGAAATAGATGTGGCTCCTGGTTTGGGGGTTTTTTTCTTTAAGCAATCTTCCTGGATGATGGTGAGGACTAATAACCAGTAGGCCCTGGAGGCAAAGTCAGCACCTGCTTTGGCTTCCCCTTCCTCCTTCTTACGAAAAGGAAGAGGGAGTCCCAACTAGCCTTCTCTCCCCATTGTGACCCCCACAGTGAGGTACCTGAGATGAGAGAGGAATAAAACCCACTGGGAGCCTCTGCTGTGGGGAGATCTCATAAAATAGAAGTTGTGTTTCTGTGGAAGGCACACTTAGGAGATCTGGGGACTGGGTCTAGAAATTGACTAATTTTATATATGACTGACTCAGGGTGGCTGTGAATGCCACCCAGAGTGGGATCAGCTAGCCTGTACCCAGGCACCTGGTCTTTGGGATTTACTGCAGTACCAATGACCTAAGTTTCCTTCTTCAAATGTGCAGCTTGGATATTTTGTTTGTTTTTGTTGTTTTGTTTTATTTTTCAGTCTCTGTGAGCCTCCCAGGCCAGAGCATTTCTGATTCAAAGCCTGACCTCCTCCAGGCAAATGAGAAAAACAGAAGGTGCTGAATCTGAGTATAGTCTGGTTTCCCTCCTATGTATAGTCTCCAAGTCTTTGACTGTCTTGCCCAAGGCAGGCCGAAGAAGTCTTTTGGGTAATATCTCAAGCAAGGAGTGGCTTCTTTCAACATAAGACCCCAGCCCAACTTCTCCATAGAATAGTCTTTCTTAGTAGCCCAAATTCTGGTGGAATTAAAAATTAGGAACCTATTTAAAGTAAAGTGCTGGGATTTCAAGCC